GGTACCTATACTTGATGGTAATCTTATTAAGGGCTCGGCTATCACAACACATACGCCAAGTACTATTTTTCTTTAGTACCAAAAGAGCCGGAACAGCACAGGGGCTCAAGCTTTCTCTCACGAATCCTTTGGCTAGTAACTCATCAACTTGTCGTTGGATCTCCTTGGTTTCCTCAGGATTCATTCGGTACGCAGGCTTGTTTGGGAGGGCAGCTCCGGGAATGAGATCAATCTTGTGTTGAATGTCTCGTTTTGGTGGTAGGCCGTGAGGCACATCTTCAGGAAAGACATGGGAGAATTTCTCAATGATAGGCTTGGCTAACGGATGAGGTGGGGCTGAGGTAGTGGCGGGTAACCTTCTTCTTGTTGATGAGGAATGAATATGTGTTGGCATATCCATCATGGAACACCTTTCGATCAAATAACCAAGGTCGTCCCAATTCACACCATATCTCGTCGGAATAACTTCGTCCAATGCTTAATGATACCAAACTCTGGGAATCCACACGTAATCCCTTGCCATGGTTCAACCATTGAATTGTGTATGGCCTCGGGTGTGGTGAGGTCTTCAACTTCAGCTTATCTACCAACGTTTTAGAAGCTACGTTGGTACAACTTCCGCTGTCCACGATCAAAGTACACACCTTCTTCTGGATAGTGCAACGGGTATGGAAGATGTTCTCCCGTTGTAGTTGATCATCGGGACTAGCTATGCTACTCAAGGTCCTTGGGATGACCAAGAGTTCTCCTTCATCGGCTCCTACACATACTTCTTCTTCAATCTCTTCTTCAGGCCATAAGGGGTTGATCTCCTCTTCTTCATACTCAACAATGGCCATTATCTTCTTGTTGGGGCATTCATTGGCAAAATGACCTATGCCTTGGCAACGAAAGCATTTGGGAGTTCGTGCGTTGGTTTGGGCTGTGTTAAAGGGGGGGGGTTGATTGGAGGAGGTAGACGGGATGGAGTTGGGTTTTGAAGGGGTGTTTTGAGCAGGGGTATTTGGAGTTGCTTTTGAGGAGGTAGGAGGGGGTTTGGAGAAGGGGGAGGCACGAGCAAATGGGGTTTTGTTTCTCTTAAGTTGGGATTCAACTTTGAGAGCCAGTTTAGAGAGTTCTTCAAAGGTATCATAGGGTTGCAGCTCAACTACATTAGCTATTTGAGTGTTTAATCCAAATAGGTAACGTACCAATGTTTGTGAATCGTTTTCTTAAAGGTCACACCTCATTAGGAGTTCTTCAAACTCCTGGGTATAGTCTTCAACCGAGCGAGGGCCTTGCCTTAGGTGTTGAAGCCGGGCAAAGTTGTCTCGTACATATTGTTCGGGCAGGAACTTCTTCTTCAACAAGCTCCTCATTTTGAGCCAGGTCTTCACGGGAGCCTTATTCTCTCGCCTTCTTTTGGTTGATAGGTTGGACCACCAGGTGGACGCATACTTCCGGAACTTCAGCGCCACGATTTTGACTTTCTTTTCCTCGGGCACATCTTTGAAGTCAAAGACGCGCTCAACAGTCTCGAGCCACTCTAGAAAGTCGTCGGGATCATTCTTTCCTTCAAAGGTTGGTATGTCAACCTTGAAATCATTAGCTCCTCGTTGATAATTCTCTCCTCTAGCGGTGTTACTAGAGTTATCCTCGAGAGGAACCTCTTCTTCTTCATCGCTTTCCTCCAGGGTGTTCACCATGTTCATCTTGAGCTTGATGAGTTCGGCAACTTGTTTTGCCAAGTACTCAACTTGGGCTTTGAGGGCGGCATTGGTAGCTAGAAGTTCTTCGTTGGAAAGGTTGTTGGATGTGTTTGACATGATAGCAAGGGCGAGAAAGGCAAGGGGATAGAAAGGAAGGAAAAGGGGAAGTGTGTTGTATGGCCTTAAGGGAATGCTCAACAACAAGCTCTGATACCAAATGTTATATCTAAGCTCAGGGTTTTATAGTTACAACCTCTTTATTTGCAGGGGGTGGTGATGATCGATTGTCCTAAATGGATAATCGATTATGGACTGCTGCAGGTTCTAGGTAGTTTTTCTGGGAATTTTCTGAGAAGGATAATATACGATTGATGGAAGAGTGGCAATCGATTATTGAGAAGTGCAGGATTCTGGGAAAGGCTGGTAATCGATTATCTGAAAGTGATAATCGACTATTGAAGGCTGTAGATGTTTCACGAGGGATAGATAATCAATTTCTTGTAGCGATAATCTATTATTTGACAGCTCGAGACAAGAAAAGAAGTATTTCTTTGGGAAAAGCCAAGTTGGTGTTAAGAGATATTACACACTCTTATTTTAATTTGGGGTTGAGTCTAGCATTCAAATAAGATATCACACACTTATTTAAATAACTAGAACCTAAAACTCACACTCAAGAGAACCACTCTCAAGATATAGAATTAGGAATTTGGAATGAAACACACAAGTGAATCACTTTGATTAAAAATGGAAAATACAACGTGTTTCTACACCCAGGCCTATTGCTGAATATATAGGATTACATTGGAGGGAATAAGGGAAAATACAACTCACTCAAAATAATGCCCATGTGCTTATGTTTCTTGAGTGGAATGAAATCAGGGATATGGGTTGTTTGGTGGGGTTTTGGGCTGTTCCTGAGTTGCAGGAAATGTTGGAGGAAGGAGGGATGAATGTGGGGAGGGCTGAGGTTGAGCGCCAAGGGGTGGGGGTAAGAGGAAGTGGTATATTTGGCTGGGTATTTGTGGAGGTTTTGGGAGAATTTGAATTTGGTCAGGGTTGGGAGACAAAGGGGTGTGTGTGGGGTGTGTCATTTGGAGTTTTATTGTAGGTTTGTTGTGGGGAGTGGATATATTATTGTGAAGGAAAAATATCCCTGGGCATTTTGGGTTATAATTTGAGTGTATTGGGGAACATAATGGGGACCATGCTGGGTGTGTTTTTGGACACTTATTTTCGAAATTTTAAAATAAGAGAAAAGGGAAATTGGGGCTTGGTTTTCTTTGGATTCCTGGGAATGGATTGTGAAATGTTGTGATTGGCTATTAAGGTGGTGGTGGGTTCAGGGTAAGTATGGTTAGGGTGCATGGTTTGGTGATGATTTCATTCCAGAGGGGGTCAAAACACTTGGACATTATTCCATTGATTTCCTTAAGGACTTGAGGGTGATTTGTGGTGCTCTGGGATATATCAACTTGGGTTTGATTTGGATATTTGGTGGGGGGGGGGGTTTGGGTGTTATTTTTGGCCATCCTAGTTTTTTGGGTGATGTATTCATTCCAAAAAAGATTAAAACATTTGGACATTATTCCACAGATTTGTTTAAGGACTTGAGGATCGTTGTTGGTAGTCAGGGGTATATCATCCTCCCCTTCTTCAAAAGGGTTTGTCCTCAAACTCGGCAGTTCCTCAGGCTCGAAGTACGAGCTGATATCTTTGATATTGAATGTGGCCGATACTCCGTAGTCTCCTGGAAGGTTGATTTTGCAGGCATTATCATTGATCTTTTCTAGGATTTTGAATGTGCCATCTGCCCTCGGTAACAGCTCGGAGTTTGTGTTGCCCTTGGATGTACTTTAAAGCCTAATGATCAGAATGCAAAATGAACTCCTTGCTTATGAGATAGTGACGCCAATGTTCAAGAGATCGCCGGTTCTTCTACGAAGACGTCATCTTCAGGAATATCTAAGATGTCTTCCTCAATGACAACTTGGTCACACCAGCTTTTCTTTTTCTCCTCATGAATCATGATCCACTCTTCATATGGTATGGAATACTTGTTTGAACATTCCCAATGGCCATGACCACAGCCACCACACATGAAACATCGCCGAGTAGCCCATTGCAATATTGCTCCATTTGCAAGGAAAATTTCCACATTTCTGAGGTGTCTTTTAGAGACCATATCTTTCAAACCGGAGATTGGAATTAGGTAATTCCAACTCTCATAGCTATCAATTCACGTCCACGAAGACATATCAAAAATTTGGAGCCATTAAAGAACGTTTGTTACCTCTTTGGAGACAAATTCAGCAAGGTAGATAGAACTCGTCCAGGATTCTGTTATCAACTTCGGGAGGGCGTATCTCACTAACCACAACTCGGAATTGAGTGAAATCAACGGCCACGCGTAGCAAAAACGTCAAACTTTTATACTGAAAAATTTAACTTCCAAATCTGTTGTGTAGCTTCCTCCGTGATCAATTCTTTGGAGCTGAAAGTTTCTGGAAAAATTTTCAGCAACCTTCTTTTGGGTACGTTTGTGAAGTCGGTTCACAAGGTGATCGTCGAGACTTAAGGAAGTCTTCGAATATAGCTTTGATACCAAATGTTGTACCCGAGACCCGGGGTCTTATCAAGTAATCAATTTGATGGCGGGTTTACGGAGGAAATGGAAGCAAGAAGGAAACAACTTTGAACTCCAAAGTTCAGAAACGCATGATAGTCGATTATCATTAACTGATAATCGATTAACAAGATATGATTTCCAAACCACGAATGTTCAGAGATGCCTGATAGTCGATTATCACTTTTATGATAATCAATTGTTGGAAATGGCTGGGTAAATATGGAGGTGATGAAGGAGAGTTCTTTTTGGTATTTTGATTTATGAAGATAGAATAGAATGTGGCTTAGGAAGAGAAAATGGAGAGGAACGAAATGGACAGAGAACAAGGATGGATAAACCAAATAATAAATAAGAGATAAACACACTCTTACTATATTTGGGGCTGTTATCTATTTCACACAATAATAATCACTACTAATGTATAAATTAGACTCCTAACACACACTCAAAAGTAGCCAACTTTAGAGATATTTCATTAGGAAATTTGGTTAAAATAGCATCACACTATTTTAAGAGAATACTCAAAAGAGTAAACAAAGTTTTTCATTCAATTCAATCTGCTGGTTTTACAATGGCTCATGGCCGAAATATATACAAGGGAAGGGAAGGGGAAATACAATCAAATGAAGATAAATACAACTAGGAAACTTCCTTTCATCTTCCTTACATTTGACATTATCAAAAACATCCTAATTGAGCTGATTTTAAGGATAAAATGAATGGATTTTATTTGGATTGTTGTGGTGTGATATCTCGGCCTTATGTGAGAAATAGAAAAGGAATGTTGTGTGGCTGAAATTAGGACTAAAATGACTTGTTTTTATATAGGAAATTCGGCCCTAAGGGATCAAGACAAAGGAGACAAAGTTTGGCTTGACTTTAAGTGAATAATAGGACAATAAGTTACTATTCAATCAAAGACTTCTTTGCTGATTTTGTCCTTTTGTTTTGTTGTTGTTTTCTCATGATTTAGGGCTGGATTTTAGGAAGAAAATGGGTGGGAATTTCGTTGGAAAGGTGTAAGAAAATAAGGGGAAGGTCTTATTTAATGAAAGGAACAAAAGAAGTAGAAAACAACACACAAGGTTTGTCTTTTTGGTCCTCATTTTCGTCCAAGGCTAAAAAGGAGGGAAAAGACTTTATTTTGATTATCAAATGAAGATTAAAGGCTTTTGGATATTTTGGGAGAGTTTGGGGTTTTGGTGGAGCCATCCAGGGGTACATCAGGTGCCGTGATGGTGCTAAAATCTTTCACAAATCTCCGGTAAAATGAGGCCAACCCGTGGAAGCTTCGCACTTGCTGCATAGTAGTGGGAGTCGGCCAATCATTAATGGCTTGGGTCTTCTTTTCATCAACCTTGATTCCTTCACTTGAGATAAAGTATTCCAAGAATTCCGTCTCTTGAGTAAAGAATTGACTCTTTTCGAGATTTCCGTACAGCTTCTCATCGTCTAACTTCTTAATCACCAAGGTGAGGTGATTCATGTGCTCTTCTTCGCTTTTGCTATAGATCAAAATGTCATCAAAGTAGACAATGACAAAATGACCTATGAATGGCTTCAATACTTGATTCATAAGCCTCATGAATGTACTCAGAGCGTTGGTTAACCCGAATGGCATGACCAGCCATTCGTATAGTCCGAATTTTGTCTTGAACGCTGTTTTCCACTCGTCTCCTTCAAAGATACGGATTTGATGGTAGCCACTCCTAAGATCAACTTTTGAGAAAATCTTAGACCCGTGCAGTTCATCAAGCATGTCTTCCAAACGTGGGATTGGGTACCGATACTTGATAGTGATCTTATGAGTTTTTTTTTTAATCCCAGTGGGCAAACCACCAAGTATGGTGGGGTAAGGTCTAGGCAACCCTTACCGAGTATTATTAAGATATCATCGTTACCATAAAGTGAGGGGAGGACCAAACCGAGGCCTAACGCCAGCCCCTCATACGGAAGACAAGCCTTTCGGGGAGTACAAAGGATAAGAAAGGGAAAGGGGGCCTAGAACAGGTTTGACCAAAGCCACAATACGGTCCTAGATAGAACAACTAGTCTACGGCTTGACCAAAGCCACAATAAGGTCTTGGCTAACAACAACACTACTAGTCTACGGCATGACCAATGCCACAATAAGGTCAAAAACACGACCAAAGTACCACGGCAGACCAAAGAAAGCATATGCTCAAGCAAAACAAACCAATGGTACAAGGAAACCAAGGAACACAAGGGAAATGGATAAACTCCCACGGAGAAATAAGGCCAAGCCATCCACTTCCCACTACGCAAACCACACATACCAAGATTAGGAAAAGGTATTATGAGCTCACCCATAGTACCAAAACTTCTCCGTAACCCCAGTATAACCAGTAATGGCTTAAGAATCTTCAAAACCGCAAACACTATCCCCTAGCAAGATAGGAATAGGAAGGTGAGCGCACCCACAATCCAAGTTCTCCATATCCCCGGAGCGATAGGACTGCCTATACACTCCAAAACTGCCAACACAGTTCACACAACATTATGAGGATGAGGAAGGTGAAAACTCAGGAACACGTTGGATGTCCCACTGACAGAGGATTTG